TGGAATGATTTTAGGTTATCAGATGGACAAGATACACCAAACAGGAGCTATTTTTATTTGAAAACCAAGACAATTTAATAAAATGAGTTGAGACATCTATTCCTTTGAGGCCTTGTTTAATCATTAGGAAAGCAAGCTGAGGAAAGAGAACATCAATATATCCAGAGAGATCAAAAGGGCTACCTTTAATATGCAATTTAGTTACATAAGATTGGATTCATAATTAAGGTTTTGCTTTATTCCAAGCATGGAAACTTCCAAAAGAAAGTACACTGGGCTTTGGGAATCCAGAGAATCTAGTTGGAATCTCAGTTTGCAGTTTACTAGTCATGAGGCTTTGGGGAAGTTGCTTTACTTTCCTACTATCCAGTTAACTTCTTAGTAAGATGCAGCTGTCATATAGGGCAAGTCATTACTTTGTGTCTTGCACCTACTAAGTGCTCAAAAAACTGAAGCTTGATTATTAGAGTCCAAGCTAAGATCAAATCAAATGGGTCTACACTTAGACTTAATGTCGCTGACCTCATTTCCTCTTCACCATTTGAGGAAAATCTGTGCTGCTTTTTATCACTGGTATGCAAGAGTAGGCGCATCTTAAGACACTATGATCAAAGGAAACTGTTCTCTGGCATTTCTTTTAAGTCCATCTGCAATAGAATTAATAATAAGAGGTTTCTTCTGGTAGAAATGGGACAGGGAGCCCAGAATCTCTTTGGGAAGAGCCGTGTTTCATGAAATTAATATGGGTACCAATGTACAGCAATGCTGGGTGAGCCACACACCTGAAGACAAGATGGTACTAAGTTCCTGAGGTCAGTGTCTCATGGGACTTCTCATCCTCCTCCATACCCCCACTCACTTTGGTAGACCAGGGTGACACACAAGGAAGTGCATATCAGGAAATGGTGCTTTCCCTGGAACAAGGGAAACAGAAGTAAATAAGCAAACAGGAAGGAGCTCTGCATGGCCAACCAGAGGCTGAGTGGTGCCCCGGGTGGTACACACTCCTTCCATGTGTAATTATTTTGCACATACAGTCTTCTGTGGATGTGACCACCACTGCATCTACAGAAGGCAGGGAAATGATTATCAAGCTCATTCTACAAAGATAAGGCTGGGATGGTCACTGACTCAGACATACAAAACCAGTGACAGGAGGGTGAGGACCAGAACCCAAATTTTCTTATGCCAGCAAGGATTAGGTTAGACTATGAGTAGTAGACAGACATGCCAAAAAATAAGGCACTCCACTCCTACCACCACGGTGGCAGTTCAGAAGCGAGGTGATAAGACTCATGGTCATGAAGAGCCCATGGTCCTGTCCCAACTGCACTACCAGTCACTCACTGAGATGTGCGAGGTCTGGGCTACAAGGGCTGTATCCGTGGCCTGCTGCTGTGGAGTGATGGGCAGAGTTACTGAAGGAGGTGAGACAGGGTCCAAGGACAGAGGTAAAGTTCTCATTTTGGAGAGAAAAAAGAACAGAAGGAAGCCCACACAGAGGCACACACAAGTGTACCCAATCTATCCTTTATCTCATGAATAAATCAATGAGAGACCATTGTTTTAGACTCAGCTCCTGGTGTAGGAACCCACAGACCAGACCAAGCCAAAATGGAGTCACTCATGCCAAATGTCACATCACTAAACCGAGGCTCTAGGGAGGCAGATAGGTCCCCAAACACAGCAGGTGCTCCTGAAAACAGGTAATTCCAGCCTACCTGGCTCAGTGCAGTGAGGAAGTCTCTGCTCTGACTTTTATTTTTAAAAAGTTACACAGTATTAACACCAGGGAAATAAATTTCCCCCATGGTTCTGTTTCCTTTCACTTTACACAGCCCACTGTTCTGCCTGCTGTTGGCTAATGGGAGTGGAGGTGCACACTTGTACATGCACGTACATGTACACACACACACACACACACACACACACACACACACACTAATGCAGATTTGACACTTTGTTTTTCACGTACCATCATTTTCTCAGCTTACCAGCCTGGCCTTGGTCCCTATGTTTCACTGATGCTGTCTGGGGAAACTTTGTGACCTCGTCTTAGAAGTCCAGGAAGTCAGGCCAGTCTTCTTTTACTTGGCTCAGATCCGAGAACACAGTGGTGAAAAGCATAAGCCCCAGATCTAGATCCTGAGGCCCAACTCCTGTCTTGGTCTCCTACCTGCTGAGGTATTTTAGGGCAATGAACCACATTCTGTGCCTTGGTTTTCTGATTTGTGAAAAGCAGATGATGTTAATATTTCCCAGCAGCTGGCAGGCTGCAGGGAGGTGACAAAAGTAAAGTAGGCCTGTGAAAGGATCAGAGTTGGAGGGGGTGCAGGACACTGAATCCCATCACCTCATCTCTGTAAGTGGCTCTTCCCCAGCTCAGCTCTGGCTTCTGCCAGACTCACTTAAAAGGATGCATCTGAAGAGGACAACGAGCACTCCCCAGGGAACCACCCAGATGGCAAACCATGAATCCTTGGTCTCTTTCACACAGTTCTGAGGGGGCAGTTCTGGACCGCTCCTCCATTCTTTTATCCTTCAAGACCCCTCTGGCTTCAGTAGGACTCAGGAGCCTGGAGCTGCACCCTGCAGGAAGAAGCCCCTCCTCTCTTCATTCATGGGTGTCTGGCAGCAGAACATGTGCTCCCCTGAGTCAGACTGGGCGCATCCCATTGGTGCTCTGTGGCCCTCTGCAGAGCCAGTGCTCCACAAAGCTCACTGTTTGGGTAAATCAAGCAGTGCTCAGATGTTACATGGGAAAGCCTCAAGATCCAGGCACCTGAAGACTTTGGGAACCAGGCCTTGAAATGGCTTTGATTTCATAAGAATTTCAAGGTAGCTTGGGGAGATGTAATCGACTGCTTTTAAAGAACCCCAGATAATTTGCTTTCTGAAATACATTATGTACATCTCTGCCTTTCAAAGTAAGATATATGAAGTTTCACCTCTTCTTTCTAAAGTTACCCACAGAGACATAATGTCATTGCATAGGTGAGTTGTCCTGGTGTGGGGCTGTTGGCCACCACACTGTGACCTGTGGAGATTTCTAGGGCTGGCCATCTTGCATCTCCTGCCCAAACATATCTCCTGCTGACATCTAACCCTTCCTTTCTGCATCTAGTGTGTTGCAAGCCTGAAAATCAAAGAGATGTGTTAGAGATCTGTGAGAAGTGTACGTAGGATCTGCCTGAGGGATCCTGGGGACCTCTTACAGACAGCAAGCTTATGCTGTCTGTGACAGTTTCATCTATCCAGGGACAGTCATGTCTGTCTTCTGCGTTTTCAATTAAGGACTTTAGAGCTGCTGGCTAGCTGTGGGCTAGCGGGAATCCTGGCTGTTAGTTTTAACCTCTCTACCTACTACATGTAGTACCTCCTCCCAAACCATTATTTAAAACCAAGCTACAAATCTCCTACCTGCAATTACCTGTGCAGGGCAGTGAGAACCATGTCTCCAATTAGTGATCAATCACCTCCCCCTAGTGGCCTACGAATATATAGAAAAGGTAACTAAAACCCTATTTACAGAAAATTCATGGGTATGATTAGTGTTTTACTTCAACTCTTGGGTCATTTCCTACCAATTTGTCCAAGTGGCCAGATGTTCCACCAATTCTAAAGTTGAGTTTTAAATCCCAAAGCGTAGAAAATCACCCTTGTTTATAATAAGCACAAATATTCCCTGGTCAGTCTTTCTCTACCAAAAACCAACTTCAATTTGGAAGGCACATGAGTGGGGACACATGGGAGAGAATGGTGCTCAGGAATGGCGTGGAGGCCAAGTATGCTGGGAGTGGTCAGTGCCCTTACCCTGAGAGGAAGCAGCAAGCCACCGGGCAGGCAGCCGTGGGCCCTGATGGGGTGGAGGACAGGGTGTGTGTCCAGGGTGAGCTCTAGGCCTCCTCTGGCATGCCAAGGCATCACCCTTCACCATCCAGCAGCTCCCAGGGCACAGCAGGGCTGGTCAAAATGCAGTAATCAGGGCTCCCAAGCAAAAGCTGGAGTGGCTTTGTACAGGAGCCTGGGGTATGAGCTCAAGGTATGAGCTCCTTGTGGTTATCCTGACATTTACAGCTTGTAGGCTCCCAGTCCAAGCCATACTTAGAACTTGGATCCTATGTGAATTCTTTCATGCTCTCTAAATTCTGATTAGAACCATCCAGTAATCACAATAAACTTGAGAAAAGATGGCCTAATTCCCTTTGCCCGTGTTCTATCCAGCTGGTGGGGCAGAAACCTGTAGACACACTCATGAAGCTTGCCGTGAGGCCATACCCAATGCGCCCCAGCAATCCCCAGCACTCACAGTTCCCGAGGCTGTGTGCATACTCATCTATTCTGGTAGCTTGAGAGTCCAAATAGTTTGTTTTCATTTTTTGAGACAGGGTCTCGCTACATAGTCCAGGATGGCCTTGAACTCAGCAGCGATTCTCCTGCCTCAGCCTTCTGGGTTCTGGTGATTATGAATGTGGGCCACATGCCTGGCTACCAAACTTCCTCTATTAGGTGCTCAGTAAAAAATTCACCATTGTTCTTCTCTAAAGTCTACTCTTTCTTCATCCAACTAATAAGGCATGGAGTACACCCTAGGGCTCATGTTCACTCAGCACAGGAGACCGGAAGTAAATTCTTCTGATTCAGGGCCATTAGGACAGAGACTTCTTGTCCTGCAGGCTTCCCTCAGGAAGCTCCTGGGTCAGCACAGGAACCGACTTCCCCAACAGGCAGCTTCCACAGCTCCCTCCACCCCAACAGGGAAAACACACTCGTGATGGAAGCAAACTGCACTAGCAGGGGTGTGCAGGAGGGCAGCAGGAGGTGACAGCGAGCTGCCCCAGCTTCCACTGCCCATGGCCCTTCCCCCAGCAGCAGGTGTGGCAGTGGACAGGCGCTTAGGACCTGTGACCCACCACTAGGAAGTGCTGTGTGCGTAAGAGACAGCCAGCCGGATATACACACACCATTACTTATTCCAAGGGTCACAGACAGGCTTTTTCTTTACAAAGACATTTATTTTACCAAACAAAATACTGGTTCTTTTAAAGGTATATAAAAATTCACATTAAGTTAAAGCTATAGGTGGGGAATTTGTCCTCTGACATATGATTCGCTAATTCTTTCTTCTCTTTCTTAGCTGGAGTCTGCTCAGGCTGACATTTAAAACGCAAAATCTAGAAAGAAAAAACAAAGCAATAGCTGGAAAGGTTTGATAAAGTAGTAGTAAATAGGCCAGGTGTGGTGGCATACACTTTTAATCCCAGCACTCAGGACGTTAAGGCAGGAGGACTGCTACAAGTTCAAGGGCAGCCTGGGTTACATAATGAGCTCAAGGTCAGCTTGAATTATGGTGAGACCCTGTCTGGGGGGGGGGGAGTATATATATAGTGGCCAAATCTTATTTGCTCAGCATTAACCCTATATTTGAGTACTGAGACCTAACAAACAGAAACCAATGAGTTTGTCTATTAATGAAAGTTTTTTCAAAAGCATAGTTTTCTTTCCACCTAGAAATCCTTTGTGTGTGAAGCAGGGCTCTGGTCTCCTAGGAGGAAGGGGACTGCCGAGTTGGTTCTAAGTTCAGCTATGCAAGCAGCTGCCTTACACCACAGATCCTGTCTCTGGACATCCGCAGGAGGGAAGAGGCGCTTATGGGCTCATGCTCAACCCCTCCACCTTCACAAAACAACCACTCAGGCTGGAATGCCAATCCAGCCGCCAGACAGCATTTCATATACAACTGCTGTCCCTGCCCTTCCCAGTTTCTCAGCACCTCCTCTTCCTTCACCCCTGTGCCTACTGTTGAGTTTTACTCAGTAAACATTTTCTGAAAGGAAAGTGGCTGGCAAAAGACCACAGCTCACTGAGGACCACTGTGTGGTGACAACTGGAGACATGACACGGACACAGCAGAATTGAGGAAATAGCATGTGTTAGCTGTGTGACATGGCCTTGGTAGCTCCCCAAGAGCCCTGGGCTTAAAGCCCACAGTGAGCTCTGGGCCTTGTGTGTACACTGAGACAGACACTGGCTACAGGCATGCTGGTATGGGGACTGTTGGGAAGGGACGGCTAGGCCAGGACACTAACAAGGCTTGAGTCACTGTGGCTCAGGAACAGCCTGTAGGAGCACAGGAGTGGGCTGGAGGAAGCAGATGAGGTCTGGGTGGAGGACAGGCAGGGATTTATCTGCCTTATCAAAAAGACAGCCTGAGCCCTTATCCTTGGGACTTCACATGGCCACATCCTCCTTCCCCACCCTCATCACCAAGTTTACCCACAGCTGGGAGAAGGTCTCAGCTGTCATTATCTGCTCCAGAGCCCTCACACCCAACCTGTGAAGAACCTCTGCCCATCAGAGCAGAGTGGCCAAACTGCTGCAGCAGAGCAGCAGGCCGGGCTGAGCCCCACTGTGAGCACAGGGCGGCCTAGCACCCTCACGCAGCCCCTCAGACCCCGGGGCCACAGAGCGCTCCCCCCAGTGATCAGCCTGCACCAACCCACCGGACAGTTCACATTCGCAAAGCCTGAAAACTTTCCATTTCTTCAGTTATCTTTCTTCTCTAGATGCTGCTTCTTTATGGCCTCCAGTTTTTGTTGCTTCACTTCCAATCTCTTCCTTTGGTACATTTTCACTGCAGCAAATGCCAGGCAGAGAATCAGTGTTTTGGCTGCCAAGATATACAGCAGCAGGGGCACGTGATCGAGGACCTTAAAGAAAAAAGAAATCAGCCGAGTGTTCTATCAGTGATACAGCTTGTTTCTTCATGTTCCTAAATTACACAAAGATTTCCTGAGCACCTGTTGGGCAAAAGCACAAAGCTAAGTGCTGGGGCTACACTTGGGGCCAAGCCGCCCAGGTCCCTGTCCCTGTCACCAGCAGATCTGTTCATCATCATCACTTTGCTCCTGGCTTTGTAGAAAGGAAGAGCATCACCTCCAGGCATAATAGCTCGTCTCACAATTTAGTGAGGTTGGTGGGCCGCAAGCCAAGCACTGGCTTCCAGGCAGCAGCAAGGATCAGTAACAGGAGCTGCATCTGGGAGGCTTCTGTCACACTTCCCGTGTGACCTACGTGGGTCACTGGAGCTTCGACCTCATCCCCTGTGCAGTGAGGCTGGGCCAGACCTCCCTTTTTAGTGTGCTACTACTTTGTCTTGGCTCCAGAGTCTCATTAGCACTAGCATTGGTGGGAAAACAAAATGCAGCAAAACTCAAAACATTACAACTTAACTCTTATCAACTGTCCCTGTAATTTCCTAGTTTGGAAGAAAAATTTTCACCCACTGCCTAAAAGGAAGTCTGTGGAACAAGACTTTTGGTGTCAGCCTGTTGTGCTATAAGCTTCTACATATCACAATAGTATCTCAAAGCAAATACTGCACTGGTTTCATAAACATGGTTAATAAGGGCTGAATAATAATTATGAGTTTTTGTGTGGTCAAAATTCCTCCTCAAATAAAGTGAAAATGGTTTTTCATTGCGTAATCATTACCTTAGAGGTCAACATAGTACTTAGCCAAATGAAATTATTACTTATTATATGTAATACCAATCAAATGAGGTTTTTCTCTCTCTTTTTTTTTTTTTTTTTT